AAAAAAGAGGGCAGCGCCTGTGGCTCAGTGAGTAGGGTGCCGGCCCCATATACCAAGGCTGGTGGGTTCAAACCTGGCCCCGGCTGAACTGCAACTAAAAATAAAAATAGCTGGGTGTTGTAGGGGGGCACCTGTAGTCCCAGCTATTCCGGAGGCTGAGGCAAGAGAATCACTTAAGCCCAAGAGTTGGAGGTTGCTATGAGCTGTGTGACGCCACGGCACTCTACCAAGGGCAACAAAGTGAGACTCTGTCTCTACAAAAAAAAAAAAAAAATAGAACTGGGTAACAATATGATTACTATTTGCAGTGAGTGCTATGAGAAAATATGCGTCATTTCAAGAGCACATAACTGGAAACCTCACCTAGTTTCAGGTGAAGGTGGTGACTGGGAGGGCTTCCTGAAAGAAGTGACTCCTGAGCAGCATCCAAAGCCTGAGTGGCCAGGCAAAAGAAAAAGAGTTAAAGGAAAGTTCCCAGGAGATGGCATAACCATTGTGTAAAGTCCTGGCAAAAGTTAGTCCAGGATGGGGCAGTGAACAGAAGCTGCTTAGTCTGGTTGGGAGGGGTGTGGTGAGAAGGGAATCCAGATTAGTCATCACCAAAAGATTTAAAAGATTTGTCAGGAGCCAAACCCAGGTTCAGACCTGGTCCTGCCACCCTCTGTGACCCTGTCTTTCAGAACCTCCATTTTCTCTGTTAAATCCTGCCTCATAGACAAGGCAGTTGCTTTGGCCTGGCTCCAGCAAACCCTCAGGAAGCATTACTTGCAAATGCAGTTTGTCTGCTGTGATCTTGTTATTTGAGCTATTACCATATTAATTATATCATTAAGGAGTACAGTTGGGCATGGTGGCCCGTGCCTGTGTAATTCCAGCACTTTAGGAGGCCAAGGCAATAGGCTCACTTAAGGCCAGGAGTTCAGGATCAGCCTGAGCAATATGATGAGACACCCATCCCTACAAAAAATAAGAAAAATCAGCCAGGAGTGGCGATGCACACCTGAAGCTCCAGTTACATAGGAGGCAGAGGCAAAAGGAATGCTGGAGCTCAGGAGTTGGAGGCTACAGGGAGATATGATTATGCCTTAAGGATATAGGCTAGCAAGGGGAGCTTAGCTGCCTGAGTTTAACCCCAGAGACATTATCTGTAAAATGGGTATAATGACCAAAACCGATCCTAGAGGGTTGTTACGAGAAGAAATGAGCTGATGAAGCACTTAGAGTGTTTGGCAGCTGTGTTTTTGTCAGTATTATTTAAGAATAAGCAAGAGTCAACAGGCGAGGAATGCAAGTAGGCTCCAGGCTGAGGGAACAGTACAGGACAGACACAGAGGTTAATAGCTGCCATTTACCAAGCATTTATCACTTAATCCTGACCCGGCTCAGTGAGGGGCCAACCCATGTTCCCAATTTAGAGAGGAGAAAATCTCTGCACTGTCTTGGGGTCATGAAGTTATTATGGGGCAAAGCCAGGATTCAAACTCAAGTTCAGGGGAGGGACTAAGGGCCAGACAGCCATCCCTTCCCCCCTGAGGAGCCCTGAAAAAGTACCAGGCACAGGTTGGAGATTAGCGTCTGAGGGCAAGTACATGGCCTCCAAAAGTGAATTCAGTTTCTGGTCCTGTCTGTCTCTCCCTCCTTAGGGACCTCGGGAACATCTGGCCTCAGAAACAAGGCCAATGTCTCTTCCTGTGTATGGGGCTCTCTTTTAAAGACTGGAAGACTGAGGATGTGCTTTGGGCTCCTTCAAGAAAAAAAGGATTCAGATGATTCTGGGGACCCCGGCGACGGCAGCGTGGTAAGGGGTACGGGTGGGAGAAGGCACACTGCAGCTTTCATATGTGGCCAAGCCCTATTTTCAGTTTGATGCCATCCGGGTTGCTGCAGGGACCAGGGAAATCTATTCTAGTTTCAGTTCTTGCCATAGACACGGGCATTTGTTCCCCAGCTTGTGAACCAAACAAAACTCAGGGTCTCCAGGTAGTGTTTGTCACGTCAAGGCATAGAGGGAGGCAGTGTGCTGAGTCCCTTTTTGAATGGGCCAAAAACTGCGATCATGGAGGTGGAAATTGACACTTTTGACACTAGATTGTCGTCTAGAATTCTCGGGCACCTTCACCCAGGATTTAAGAGGTGTGGGGAAAGATCTAAGGGTTAGACCCTCTGGTGCCAGAAACATGCCTGTGGAGCCACAGCATCCGCACCCCGCGGTGTGTAGGGCGGTGGGGTCGTCGTGCGCAGGCGCAGTTCCAATGCCGGCTCTAGGACCCCGCGGATGACAGCTGGGCAGCGGTGCAGTGCCAAACCCGGAGCTGCAGTCTGAGTCACCCGCCCCGCCCTCCGGAGCCGGACTCTGAGGGAGGCCCCGGAGCTGCAGAACCAACTGCGCGACCGCCGGACTTGGGAGGTGGTGAGATCCGGGCCCAGACTACCCCTGCACCCATAACCCAGGCTTTGACTGCTCCCAGACCAGGCTAGACCTCAAAGGCCCGTCCTCAGGGGTCCCCCACACCTGTGGTCTCATATTCGAGCCCCAGACCTGTCCAACCCCCGTTATCCTCCTCCCAGAGGCCTCTTGTTCACCGCTGACTTGTGACCTAAAATACAAGCCCATAGATTGGAGAAGTACCCCGTGAATTCTCCCTTGGAGCGTCCAGAACCACAATCCTAGATCTGTGGCCCCAATTCCAGTGAGGGACCCCGTTATTCCGCGCCCTGGGGCTCACAGCTCTGCTCTTAGACCCGAGCCCACAGACCCAGAGGTGACACTGTAATCCCGCCGCTGGGAGTACCTAAATGTTCAAATCCACCTTCTGGATTTCCTAGACCCCACCCCAGGGGCCTTCAGGCCAAGGATATCTGATCCACGTCCCAGTCAAGCTGAGGACTCATAAATTCAGTTCTGGGCCTCTAGATCTCAGAATCGGGTGTCCAGACGCGTCGGGTCCACTTTACACCAATCTGAGGTTCACATAAGAACCTCCAGCAGACCTGCACCCATGCCATGCGTGCACTCAGTGCACTCAATCCAGGCTCCCTCAAGCCGAACCGGGTTTCAAACCGGATGCTCCGTTTCTACCCACACATCCGAAGACTATCACCTCTCAGAAGCCCAGGTTCCCAGCCAAAGGATAGGTTCCCACTTGTAGGACTCAGATTCCTCCTCCAAGACCAGCTGCCGGAAATGCGTATTTTGGGGGAAGGGAGCGGGCTCAGGGGCCAGGCACCTGACCCACTATCCTCATTTTCCTCCTTAGGAGTGAGTCGCAGCCATGTTCCTGGTTAACTCATTCTTGAAGGGCG